TAGATGTATCATTAATTTATTACTTTTCCCATATATAAACATTTGTACAGGTGACATGTATCATTATTTTATAACTTTTCCCGTTTATAAACATTTGTACAGGTGACATGTATCATTATTTCATACCTTTTCCCATATATAAACATTTGTACAGGTGACATGTATCATTATTTTATAACTTTTCCCATTTATAAAAATTTTTACAGGTGACATGTATCATTATTTTATAACTTTTCCCATTTATAAACATTTGTACAGGTGACATGTATCATTATTTCATACCTTTTCCCATTTATAAACATTTGTACAGGTGACATGTATATTATTTTATAACTTTTCCCATTTATAAACATTTGTACAGGTGACATGTATCATTATTTTATAACTTTTCCCATTTATAAACATTTGTACAGGTGACATGTATCATTATTTTATAACTTTTCCCGTTTATAAACATTTGTACAGGTGAGATGTATCATTATTTTATAACATTCGTACAGGTGACATGTATCATTATCCTCAGAAATATACAGAAGTTTAAAGAATAGTGTCATGTTCAAGGTGCATCAATATGAATAAATTGTTCGTTAGTTGGAAAAATAAGACATCATACTTGAGAGAGCATACTGAATGCTTTAAAAGTGTAGGTGAATCTTTTTGTAGTTAAGATTTTAACATTGTGTATATCATTTTAAACTTTAGGTAATGCAATAATTTTTGTTAACTACATGTATTAACAAACAAATAGCATCTTTGCACAATAACGTTGCACTTATTAGATCAACTGTACTTTTACATACTTACGTAAATATTAAATCATGTATAAAATGTGTAACTTAAACGGAGTAAGACAGGTAACAATTAAAAAAGAATCAAAACCACGCCTGTCTTTATCATGTTAGTTAATAGCCAAATATTCAGTAGATCATGAATTTCTTTTTATTAAAGTAAGACAGATAACAATTAAAAGAAAATCAAAACCACACCTGTCTTTATCATGTTAGTTAATAGCCAAATATTCAGTAGATCATGAATTTCTTTTTATTAAAGTAAGACAGGTAATAATTAAAAGAAAATCAAAACCACACCTGTCTTTATCATGTTAATTAATGGCCAAGTATTCAGTAGATCATGAATTTCTTTTTATTCAGATTTTGTACAAACCTTTTTCATGGTCTTCTTAATAATGTTTACCTTTCTATAGGCTAGTACTTTAGATAGCTCTGTATTACCAGTCATTGGACCTACCTTACCAGCCAACCAAGAAGGCTCCGAACCTCTTTGGGTCAAGGAAATACAACAAGCTGATCGTAGTAGTCCATATGCTGACACAGGTTAGTTGACATTTTTTATGCATGAATTGGACAGAGCTATATCTTTTGTTATTAATTTACTTTATATTAGAGTTAGGTATGTCAGTTTATGGAGGTTTGTATAACAGATTATTCAGCCAAGAATGAAGAATTTTGACAGTTGAAAGAATTCATGGAGTAGTATAGCATAAACAAAAATCATAACTTTATTGTTGTATCGTCAAAATGGTACTTTGTTTTAATATTTGACACAGAAATTTGCAATTTAAAGTAGAAAACATACTTATAACAATTATACACTGTAAAAAATAATAAAGGATAAATTCATGCACTTGTATTGAAGCAAAAACTTTATCCTGTTCTATTTTTTACAATATTTTGAGCAAATGTTCTTTGTATATACTATTTTACATAGAAATTAGGCTAAGAAAGAATCATTGAAAGACTAGAATATATAGAGGTTCTAATTACACATGCTCTACATGAAGCACAAAAGTATTGTTTAAGTTAAAATGTTGCTTAGCTTTTCTCATAGACAATAAAAAAAATGTAAAACTTATAGTTAAAGCAACTAAACATGAATTTTGGAAAATACTAATTATCATTGTCAATAGATGTAAAATCAAAAAATAATAATCGAGTAAAATATTTCTATGAGGGGAAAGGCTTTCACTGAGTTAAAAAAAAAAAAAGAAGAAATTTAACAAGGAATATTAGTAAGTGAACAAACTTAGAAAAAATTGTGATTGAACAAAACTGTGGCAAAAAAATTAGATGAAAGTAAAATTTTTTGTTAATTGCAAAAGGATATTTAGTGTTGAGTTGAAAGACGAGGCAGTGTTCCAAGATTTCTTGTTTTCATTTTTGAATGATGCATTTTTGATAATGAAGACTTGTATGTAAGAGGTACCATTGTGGTTAGGAGAATTAGAGTGCTTGGAAACTGGGAGGTCAGTGAGATTTTCTCTTTTACAAGTCTAAAGTGTTCATGAAAATGACCACCAATTCTGCAAGCTGTTTCAGTTGTATATAGTTTGACACCTGCTGCATTGAATACAGTAAACGCCACATTTCTTACTTGCAGGTGTTAATGCCCTCTAAAATATAATGTGGAACTAGAGACAGTTTTTGAAGTGTTGTTTGTAATATTATAGACAGGGGTAGAGATGACCAGGGATTGTAAGACATAATCTAAATAATTAGAGATATTTTTGGTTGGAGAGTTGCAAGCTGAAACAATGGAGCATCGTAGTGTTCAATCATTCTGCATAGTCTCCAGTGACTTAAAGAAAATCACATGTAGAGTCTGGTATGGTGTCATTTACAATATTGGTGTTTATAGCATGAAAATCATTGTTTTATTTCAAGTGTCTGTACGGGTTGTATCCATTAGTAGTTTTAGTACTAAAATGTAATTTCACATGCCATTATTTGAAAGCTATTTCTAAATAATAATAGGCCTTACAAAATGTCTTATGACAAGTGTAATCAGTTATAATCATGATTCGCCTGCTTGTAAAACGCATTAACACGATTACAGAAGAATTATTACAAGTCATCATTTAATTTTAGATCTCTCTACTTTTGTGTGGATCTACAAGATTGCTTTGACCCTAATTTTAATGATGATGATGATGATGATTGGCTCATAACATTGATAAAAATTAAACTTCATCAACTTACTTTAGTTCACACCATAACAGTCGTTGTTCATGCAATTTGATATGATGAGTGTCTCAATCTGTCAGATTCTAGCTGGCCTAAAGAGCCCTGGTATTTGATGAAAGACCTCACTAGCATTGTATATTGCAGATATAGTGTGTTTGGCATGCTATATATTTTTCTATACTTTCACTCATAAGTTCTTAAAATTAGTAGACATAAACACATTTGTAGGTGTAACAATGGGTAGTTGTAATGTTCATTAAAAATTAAATTTTAAATCTTACTAGATCCAGTTTTGCAAACACTAGTTTACAGATTGTTGTTTTATGTAATAATAAATTATAGTTCTGCATATTTCAATCCAATAATAGGTAATGTGATAAGTTTTTGATTGAGCTTCTTGTACATAATTAGACCAGATGGTTCTTGTCATATAATTCTTAATGAGTAGAGCTTGGTGGTTAAATCATGTAATCATTACAGTCAACTACGTATGAGCATTGATTACGTTGATCAGTAGTGCCACGTAAAATAGTCAGTTGATCAAAGTTATAAGTGAATTGATTAATGTCATAAAAATAATCAAGTAATCAAAATTAGTGTTTCCTATTATTACTATGTTTGATTATTCCAGTCCAAGTTTCATTAGAACAATCGGTTAGTTGAATATTATTGATTAATATGTTCAATGATAATCAATTAACAAATTCCAATAATTACCCGGTTCTACTATTCAGTAAAATCAGTCGTGGTAACATCATAAAATATTACTGGTGTTTATTGTTTTTAGTAGCTCTATAAAAATATTAAGTTTCAAATACAAATAAGTTTAGCATTTTTTTATCATTGTGTTCTGTTTTTATTTTGGAATGTCCAGCAATTATTAAATACATTTTATTTTTGTTATGCTAATATTCAACAATAAACTGTGGAAGGTCAGTAACTCTCAAATGAATTACTGTACTGTAGTTTAAAATTAGACTATAACAGTCTTAAAGGCCCCTCCTATTATAAGTTTATACTTCCTGACTCAGTAGCTTCAAACTCTTCTGACAGTTTGTCGGTTCTGTATCTTAGAATTAAATATATTACTAGTGCTTTGTTTCATTTAGATTACCTCCCACCCCAGTGTATCAGCAGTAAGTCTTTGGGTATATGATGCTAAAAATAGGGTTTTGATGCCAGTGGTAGGTACAACACTAATAGCCCATGGTGTAACTTTGTTCATAAAATTAACAACAACAAAACAAATTAATTAGGTGATAAATTCTGAAAGCCAGAACCTGAAGTAGAAGGTTCACCTTTCAAAAATGCTCAGATATTGTTTTTGTGGTAGTTATTGTAACATTTGGTTATTAATCAGAAGAATAGCTTTCTTGTTCACAATTTATTCTGAATAACAAGCAGGTTAATTCAAGAAAATACTAACTTATAATATATTGTGTTAAAATAAATAAATAATATAATGTTAAAAAAATCCTTATCCTAATTCTGATATGTTGTGAAATCAATAAGAATTGATGAAAAATTAAACTTCACAAACTTAATCCATTTCACATCATAACTGTTGTTATCGAGCAGTTAGCTATTATAAATAATCATTTCACATCGTAACTGTTGTTATCAAGCAGTTAACTATTATAGATAATCATTTCACATCGTAACTGTTGTTATCAAGCAGTTAGCTATAATAAATAATCATTTCACATCGTAACTGTTGTTATCAAGCAGTTAACTATTATAGATAATCATTTCACATCGTAACTGTTGTTATCAAGCAGTTAACTATTATAAATAATCATTTCACATCGTAACTGTTGTTATCAAGCAGTTAGCTATTATAAATAATCATTTCACATCGTAACTGTTGTTATCAAGCAGTTAACTATTATAAATAATCATTTCACATCGTAACTGTTGTTATCAAGCAGTTAGCTATTATAAATAATGTCTCAATCCACTACTATGTTTGTTGTATCCTGTCTAGCCTATAAGAGTCCTGATATTGGGTAAAAGGCTTTGTCGATACTGTGTATAGCATATATGGTGTTGATGACGTATAATTATGCATACTTCTTTAACTTCGCTTGGAAGTTCTTATCAATCATCACTGGTAAAGTAGTTCTTATACTAAGCATTAACATATCTAAGTATTAATTGTAAATTTTAGATAAGTGATATTACGTGATTTATAATTGTTAATATATGTAGTAAGTTTTGTTGTTTGAGAGCAAATGAATAAATATACTTATGCTAGTACTTGAAATTGTAGATGTGTGTGTGGAAAGTTTTTGTTATTGATAATGAAATGTCATGTAATATTTGCAGGATTCTTCCCTATTCATTTTTTAAGAGAATAAATTAAGATACACATTATAATACACTGTGATTGTTAGAAAAGTGCTCTGTATGATAAATGTTAGAGTGGTTTGGAACTAAGTGCATATTTCTAGTTTGTGTGTATAAAAATGCTCTTATACAACTTATCAGTGTTGTGCTATATATATTGTTAATGTATACCATTAAATTGTCATAGTGGTGCAGAATACTGAACTTATTGTCTTAACCAAAATTAGTGCACTATACTATTTAAGTTTTAGTTTATCATACATCTTATTGTCGTGGTTGATGGAGATTGGGTGTCAGTTATAATCGAATCTTAGTATGTTGTCAATTTTAGAAACATGGTTTTTTTATTCAAGAAAGACTGTCTCAGTCATATTTCAACTGTATTTGTTGGCTAGAATTAGTTCAAAATTTACTAAAAATAAAGAATTATTTAATGTTAGAAAGGAAAGTTTGAACTTTTATCAGAAATCCCAAGAAAAAATTGTAATAGTTTATTGATGTATATTTGAACATTTTGATATAGGCAGACCTATAAAAAATATGCATAAACAATAAAAAATACAATTTTCATCCACTAAAATCTCCTTTAGAAAAACATATTTATATTGTTACATTTACGACAAGTGAAAAAACTTTTTGTAAATACCTTGGTTATTGAATTTATTCCTATTAATAGAACTATTCATTTTTTAATTTTCTTCAAGTGTTAGCAAACTTTAAAACTTTTTTATAGTAACATATTTTGTTGAAAATTACATCTTAGTTACTTAGTAACACAGCAACGCTGTTTTTATATTAAAACTCTACGGTAATTGGATAAGGTAACTAATGTTACTGTGTTTGTGACGTTAGATGATACTGCAGAGCTTATAGAAGTAGACCCTGGGAACTTTTCAAGCAGTCACACAAATGACAAAGATGGCAGGCTATCTCTTAGTTCTTCAACTTTCTATCTTAACATGGACATAGAAGGGGCAAAGGTTATGGCCTCAAGACCAAGAATTCCAGTGGCTGAAGTTAACCAGTCAGAAAGTGACAATGGTGTGTACCAGTGCAGCTTTGTTTTTGATAATGTATATATATATTGTGTATTGTTTGTGAAATACATTTTCATTATCATATTTTTTCATATACAGGATTGTAAATAATTATGGAAACACAGTTAATACGTATACAGGGAATCACAAACGATGAGTAAATGCAACTAAATGATCAATTATTGTGATTTGTACAATATATTATTACAGAAAATACAAAAAACAACTTTAGTATTTTCTTTTTGCTTAAAGCAACACAGTTTGTTTTTTCTGTCATGAGTTTATCAATATCTGCTTGTGAATATTGTTTCAAGTGTCCCATATTACTCTCCACAGTTCATCAATTTGATCTTTTCTGTTTCCCCCTTAATACTATGTAACCTTGATAGTATTGATATATGGACATTGAGGGCCAAGCTATGGTTGAGTGCTGGTTTCTGAGGTAATGACATGAAGGATAACAACCTGTTTATACCTGTCAGCAGTCATGGTACCATCAATTTTGTGTAATTTTCAACATCATTTGATAAGATATAGCTCACACTTGTATTGGCCCCAACAAGGTGTACTGTAGATGTATGTTTACAATGATAATATTCTTCTCTCTTCTATCAAACTCTCATTAATTGTTGCCAATTCTTCTGTAAAAAAAGCACCCTACTTCATCCTTGCTTATTTCATTGTTTGATGTCTGATTGGCATATAAGCCTTTTTTTTTTTCAACCTCATCTAAACAGTGATTTTAAGGCATCTACACATCTGTAGAGGCTACTTTGTGCTAAGATTTATCTTGCTGTTCTGGATGTAACATTCACAAATAAATTTACAGCCAGGTCACTGGCAAAGTCTTAACTGAGTTGTGGTGTGTCATGTAAAGAATATACCATGAGTTTGGGCCTTCTAACTCGCTTGTTTCTATCATCAACAGAACTAGTTTCATGTACCCTCTTCAGATTTTCCAGACACATTCTATGGAATTATTAAATTTTGTCTATCTGTCAATTGTAGTAACCTTTACCAGCTAAAACTTTGATTTCTTTATATTTGTAATGTGGCATTTCTGTTTTAGGAGCCATAAGTGTATTCACAGCACTAATGCTGGTAATAGTGTGGCTGCCTGTAAATTGACTATACTAATATTACATTGTTTGATTGGTTGAAGACAGCCAATCACAGTGAATACTATCAACATGTGATTGTGCTCTGGTGCAACTAATTTTCATACAACAGAGGTAACAGTTTCATAGTAGTTGCATTTTCTACCCATTTTATTTACTGTCTTCATACTTATATCCAGTTTTATGTGCATTTATATGTGTGTGTGTGTCTATGTGTATATAACTTTGTGAGTATATTTCTCATAAAAATTAAGCTTCCAAATGTGCTTTTTAACCTCAATAGTAAGTATAACTTGGCAATTAACTTGATTAATCAATGTAACAAATTACTTATTAGAAATTAACAGAAGTTACAATGAAATCATTTAATGTCATGAATATAATCAACTAATCGAAATAAGGTTTCTGATCATTTCTGTTTTTGATCATTCCAACTATCCAGCAATTGAAAGAACAATTAAATTGATTAATGTCATGAAAATAATCAACTAATTTAAATTAGTACTTCTTATTATAATGCAACTATCCAGTAGTCAAAGTATTGCTATTGTGATTTTTTATTAATTCAAGGTTGTTCAGCTTAATTGATTAGTGTCAGAACTCAAGTAAATAATCAACTAATTGAAGTTACCGTTTCTATTATTCAAACTATCAGATTAATCAAAACATTACCATGTCATTGGAGAATAATGGATTTAATTTTTTTCTATCTCTTGAGAATAATCGATTAGTTTAATGTAATTGATTAATGAGCCAGACAACTAATCAATTAGCAAATTCTGCTGATCACCCATTCCATTAATAAGTGTTGTATCATCATGCCTTCCTGATTTAACATTTCAGTTACTAATCAAGCTTTAGAATATTTTCAACTTAAAGGATTTACATCTTTGAAATGTTTTAATTATAGTAATAAAGTATTGTTTGAGAATAAGTTTAATAAGTGTTAAAAGTATAATAATTATTATATGTGTAAGCCCTGTTTGTTTTATGGTACTGAGCCATGGCTGAATCGATACTCTTCAGCGTGCGGTGTATGTATGTAGTATAATTAATTTGATTTAGGAAATGGTGATATTTCTTTTTCTGCTTCTTAAAATAAATGTCAGAATGTAATATTTTGCTGTTTGTTTTTGGAAGTAAATGCTGATATTAATTTTTGACTCTTTTGTAAAATTAGTACTTCAGTTTTTTCAATGAAACTCAAATTTCAATTACACTTTTCTAACACAAAATGTTATATGCCTTCATTATTCTTAGATTAAAGTTTTTTTTATGCATGATTTATCGTTAGGCCAACATCAGACATGATAAGTACTTTGAATCTTTTGCTCGAGATACTTGGAAGTACATTGGGATAAAAAAAAATTTTAATTCAAGGAAATCAATGTTCATGTTTCTTATATTAATAATATCTGTGATTGCCTGATTTAACTTGTGTAAAAAAAACTTGCATAGTTAAATACGTATATAACAGTGAATAAAGCACTTAAAATGTGTGTACATGAATGTGTTTAGTAAAATTTACTGTTGTTTTTTCAGGATTATGTTTTTATGCTTGTACAAAAATACTTCAAGTGTAGTTTAGACAACTGACTTTCAATATGATTTAATTATGAAATTTATGATTTTTTTGTTAAAGAAAGAAAAAGGAACAAACTTGTAATATTGAGTTTGATATTTTTTAAGCTGTTTTTCTTTTATATTTCAATTAAACAACTAATTTTCTTTAATATAAATGTTTCTTTTTGCATCTAAGTTGTAAACTATTTTTATATTCACAGTAGTTAGCTCTGCTAGAGAAATTCCATCCTGTGATGTTGAAGTTGTGGATGATTCACACCGAGGATTTAGTGGGTCTCCCATCAGGGACAACTTCTTGAAAGGTAAAGGCTGTTAAAGTTGTAGATAAGCTGCTTATCAAATCTTAAGAATAAATACAGTATTACAACAAAAGAACTGCTGTATTTTCAGTTACAGTAAGAATAAATACAGTATTACAACAAAAGAACTGCTGTATTTTCAGTTACAGTAAGAATAAATACAGTATTACAACAAAAGAACTGCTGTTATTTTCAGTTACAGTAAGAATAAATACAGTATTACAACAAAAGAACTGCTGTATTTTCAGTTACAGTAAGAATAAATACAGTATTACAACAAAAGAACTGCTGTATTTTCAGTTACAGTAAGAATAAATACAGTATTACAACAAAAGAACTGCTGTATTTTCAGTTACAGTAATACTGCAAATAATATCAAATAAAATAATTTTCAACTTTTTTTTTTGCACAGACACTATCATAGTCATAGGTGGAGTGAAATTTACTCAAGGTCACCAAAAGTAGATAGGATCAGCCTTACATATTTTATACTTTTTCAATTTGGGTGTAAAATTAGATAGTATGTTACATCTAATTTTAACCGAGGTCCAAACCTCAGTGACTTCATAGCTAGCTACGAGCATGGACACTATCAAGTTTTTCCATTGCTTCACTGTTTAGCGAAATGGTAATTACAGGTTTGAGGTATATTTCTCCTTCTAGGTGCTCTCTTGATGAATAAGAAGGAAGGACAAAATGTTGAGGAAATTTCCATTCCAAGAGGATGGCACAACAACCAACAGTTACGTGAGGACAATGGAGAAAAGCTGGCCTTTGAGCGTCTCAAGTAAGTGATAAGTCAAATTAAGTATAATATATATGTGACTCATTATACCAGGCTATAACCCTTTGCATCTGAACCTGGTTGTTTCACTCTTGTCCCCTTTTATAATGTTACATTCAAAAATTAATTAAATTCTAAATGTATATAAGTATACTTGGCATGAATATTTGAAAAGAAATATTTAGAATAATTCTTAATCTTTATTTCTCTGTGTTACATGATGCTTTATATGTACAGATTTTGTACATCATAGCTTGCTACAATTTCCAACCAATTGGAAACACAAACTATACATAATTACAAGCAAGAATCTGAAACTTGAACCTCCTATATTTTTGATTTGCTGAGATATCAATAAATTTTCCAAATTCTCCAAAGAAGCCTCTCCCCTCTCTCTCTGACTTTCAAGCTTGTTTGTTAATCACCTTTATGTGTCTGATGGACATGTTTATAACCAATAGGAAGAGCAGATTCTCCTACATAAGGCTCGTCACAGCTATTTGATTTTGGTGCTCGTAGAATAACAGTTTGTTATAGTTTCTTTGTGCAAGAACATTGTATTCCTGTTCTTGTGTACATGAAATTTTATTTACAAAAACAAATATTTGTATGTAAACATTGTTGTTTGTCAGTATAAAGTAAATAACCGTTAGTTAATACTTTGTGTTTTGAGTTAAAAGATTACTACTTATTTATAACTTGTGTTAAATCACTCATCATTTTTATTGCATCAGATTTTGTGTGACATAACTTCAATTTATCCTCATTTGCTAGAATAGTTCAATCTGAACCTGTAAGTCATTTATACAAATCCTACTTTCTCCAGCTGTAGCTACAGTTCACATGAACAAGCATTACTTCGTCAGCTACTCAGCTCGGAAGGACTGTCTCTCCAATGGGTGGACATTCTCTCTTCTATCATTCATAAAGTTAGCGAAACTGTTAGACCAGATGTAAAACACGATGGTGATGAAATGGATATTAGACAGTATGTACAGATAAAAAAGGTAGGTTTTTTTACTTTTGCATATGTTTATGTTTAACAAAAATTAATTGATTTTGAAATGAAGCTTCATCATAAAAAAAAAGTTGTATCACTTATATGCTAGTATTTAAATATGGTCTTTAACTTACTCGTTTTTAACTGTAAATTTAGATTGGATTCCTTTCTTTCTAGATAATGTAAAATAATGAATTAAAGTGGATTCTTTCAAATTCATAGTTTTTGTTTTTTTTTACTAGGGCTGAAAATAATACTGTATTTATCTTTAGTAAGTTTCTCATTACACTGACTGTTCAAATGTCAGGAAATTTAAAAGATATGTTACACACTGTAAGAATAGATGAATGGCAAGCATAAATCATACCTAATCTTCCCCATGACAGGAACAGGTGAATAACAAATGAGCATTTAAGTGTAAGTTTTATTTCCTTAAATTGGAAGATGTTATGAAAACATATTTAAAGTTTTCATATGTTAATCAGACATGGAAGCAACAACAAAGTTAAAAAATATTCTTTGTTCTATATATGAAATGTTTAATCAACCAATAAAAAAAGAGCATTATACAATCACAGAACCTCCACTGAACAAATGTTTTCAGGTTCGTAGTAGTCAAAAGTAAAAGTTTGATGTTACAATGGATTCCTGCATTTTGTATTGAAGGTGTATAATTTTTGGTTTTTATTAATTCTTATTATATTGATTAGATTCCTGGAGGCACAAAGGCAGAATGTTCAATTGTTAATGGTGTGGTATGCAGTAAGAATGTTGTTCATAAGATGGTATGTTTCTTTGTTTGTTGTTATTTTTATATTTTTTGCATAATCATTTTCTTATCTTGTTTTTTACAAGTTAATTTGTACTTTGTAGGCCACGTTTTATGTAAAAAAAATATTAAAATACATAAATGAAATCAGTTTGTAACTGTGGTTCAATAAGCTTACATTATCATTGACCAGATTTCATAGCTACATTTATAGGACTGTGCTTTTCTTCTGAGAAGTAGGGAACCTGCTGAGCTCAAAGGTTAATGTCTTGTCTGAAGCAGCACTAGCATTACTATTGTTAAAAACCTAATGTTTTGTTTTTTTGCATAGTATGTGTTTGTGTTTTTATTTTTATACTTGGTTTTAAAAAATGACCTATGTTTTGAGCTGGAACCTGGCTTTTCAGTTGGTTTAAATATTTCTAAATATATGACCTACTGCCTGCAGGAGGTGATGTATTAAATTAAAACTTGAATTAATGTAACTCCAACCAAAGACTTCTGTTCATTTTCTCAATATGCTTTTGAAGCATCAAAACTATTTAATTCTTCAAATGGTGGTGTTAGTTTTTTGAGCTAGGTCTTGATACTTCCACAAATTTTTCATATATATATAAAAATTAATATATAAATGTTCCAGAGATTTCTTGCAATTACTAGTAAATTATTTACAATGTACTATAGGTAATGTGTACCTGTTAATTTTTATGGATTTTTATTGACTTGAAATAAATTTTGGTAAACAGTGAACTTGCACAGAAAACTTGAAACTGTGTTATATGTCATTAAACCCTGGTTCAGGTTGTACTTTTAATCGTAAGTTTCATATGTTTTATTGGATATATATAGTTCATATTTTGGCCATTAATAGTATGTATTTTATACTGTTGCTGTCCTACTTTAACGAAGGGAACCTCTATTTAATGTTTGCTTCTTCTCTTAACAGACAGAATGATGACAAAAAACATCAGTTTAATTTATGTTTAAAGACTTACAATCACAGTTAATTGATTGGATGTACTTGCACTTTGAATATTGTACGTGATTACATGTCACTATTAGAGAAAACGTTGTACTGAAATAAATCTTCCAAACTTTATATATGTTTGATAATTTAATGAATACCTCTTCAAAAGGAATTATTTGAATGCTTCAAGAGGGGTATCCAGGTTTTGCCGATTTTGTTGCTAGGTTGATGGGAGTGACTCGTATTTTGTTATTCTATTTTATTGTGTGAGTCAACAGCAGCGTAATCTACAAGAACTGTGTTGTCAGTCAGTAAAAAACCTTATTAAACTCAAATAACATTTCATACGTTTATTGAATTTTATAAAGGAAAATATATCGGAAATACTTTCATAGGAAATAAAGCCATAGAAGGATTCTCAGCGGTATGTCTATATGGTTTTAAGTTATGATGATTTACTGGTTTTAGTAATGAATATAGTAGAATCTGTAATAGTTTGAAAGAAAAGTGATATGATATTCAGCGATGAACCAACAAATTATTATTTTTTATAAATATGCACAAGTTTTGAAGAAATCTGTGACAGTTCTTTGATAATATTTACCTGAATCTGTGCGCATTTTGAATTTAGTAGTTACATAACAAATAACTTATCAGCAAAAGCTAAATGTAAATGTTTATCTTGGACTATTAAACAATTTTTTTTTTCATAAAGCATCACCTATACTTAAATTACCTTTGATAATTGCACCATAAGTTATATGTTCTTAGAATCTCTGTAAAAACTTTTATAGATGAGACTAAACATTCTGAATCCTACAATTATGTTGCTGAGCTCTTCAATTGTGTATCAAAGAGTGGAGAACAAGTTATCATCCCTTGATCCCATTATCATGCAGGTAAAGTACATTACAAAGAATAATTTATCATCTGTTGTTCATAATCAAACATGTAGTTTGCTTGCTTTAATCAGAAGTTAATGATAAATGTATCCTATCAATGCTTTCACTGTAAAAATACCCAACCTCTAAGCCAAAAAAAAAATCCATTATTATGCCTAGTCTCTAAAGTGGATCACCATCCTAAATGTAGTGCAACATCTGAAGTAAATATTGTTTTTTAAATTAGTTTGCATACTGATGTTGATGACAGATTAAGTAGCACCACCTCATGTAAACTCCTCTTCTGTCTCCAGTATTACAGAGAGTTGTCCAGAATGAGGATAGTTTTTATGAATTTGTTCTTCCTTAAACCAACAAATTAATTTTTTAATGTCCTTGAGGCATTTTAAGGAAATTAGCTTTCACTTTGTCTTTGGATAAGCCTTTTAACCAAAGTATTTTAACAGTATGGTTTACCAATGATCATAGGATGCTGCAAACTAACTCACATTTTATTCAAACCACCAAACTCTTATTGCTGAAAGAGAGAAAAATAAATTAAAGCATTGCTATTTCCAGTTTGGATATGCAGCATACTGTGGATGTGAAACATTAAACCCGTGTCCAAACTTTCATGAATAAAACGTATGATTTTCAATGTGTGTGTCTGGTGAAGTTTGGTCTAATACAATAAATTTTAAGACTTAATCATTTTAACTCTGGTCGGTTTTCCTTACATTCATCATGGAAATTGCAAAATTGTCCTGTGTTTGAGATTTCTATCTCATATTTCATTGTTCTTAGAATGTGTTTCACATACACAGACTAAATTAAAGCTTAATATTACATAATATGAAGCATAATGTACAGTTTAATGTAGTTTAATCTCTGAAAATGTTTCACTTACTTTTTCTCCCTGTTTATTATTTTATTTAATACTTAATATAGGAACACGAGTATTTAAAAAACATCGTTGCCAAACTATCTGTCTACAAACCAGACGTGCTTTTAGTTGAAAAGACTGTTTCCAGACTCGCTCAAGAGATGCTTCTAGATATGGGAATCACCTTAGTCATTAATGTTAAACCTGTAAGTATCAGTGTTTAATATTTCTGATATGTCTTAAAAACTAATAAAGAATAATAATGTGTATGTATTCTACTATACAGAAGGTTGAGTACATTATATTAAAATAATTTTTAATATGCAAATGAGCAAGTCACATGAAAGCTACAACAAATATAAAGTCCTGATTGAACGAAATGTATCAGAACTACATGTTGACATTGAAATATGGATCATCTTGGGTTCCAGGACTATCTAGAAAGAGTTCTGACACAAGTTGTACCTCAGCTGTGGTGAGCAAAGTGCAGGAAACAGTATGTAAAAAGAGAAAGGATCTCTGACTGGAAATGAGGTATGGGTTCACCAATATGATGTTTCAGTCATGACTCCCAGTCAACCATCACATACCTTAAGCCGCTGGAGAACAAAATGGGAATTAATGTTATTCCTTATGAAGACATACTAGTAAAGTCACCAGATGTAGCACTCATATATTCTGTGTTATTGGACTGTTGAAATGGGAACTGGGAAATCATCATCCTTGTACATTAGATGGATTATGGAACACCTTCATGGAGAAATGGTATGCTTTGGACATGACAGCCTTATGACAGAATCTTTTTGCAATGCAAACTTTACTGCAGAGCTATTGTTAATATGCAAGTCAGGTAGAGCATGACCAGATATAGTGACAAGGACTGTAACTATATGGTGAAGCTCAAAAATCATAATGTAACATACTCAACCTCTAAAGCCTATACCACATTATATTTATTTAATTTTATTTTGTATTGCTTTGTGAGATTTATAGTTATTATCTTGAGATAATTTGAAGGATATTATTATAGCAGAATGAAGAAACTATAATTTTGGTGAATGTTATGACAGTAATATTTAGAAACTTTATAAGTACACATATGCATTTGTATTTTCTTAGAATAAACTATGTAATGTAAGGATTATATTAAAGAAGTATAAGTAGACCATGGTTGGAAATACTTCATATGTACATAATTATTTTAATTGGAAATGAGATCAGTGTCTCAGTTGTACACTATTCAGATGTGTGAAATATGTATTGACCTGGGTACTTTGAAATTGAACCATATTAAGTAGTTGTGTGTGTTTTGTTTTTCAGACTGTTATGGACAGAGTAGCTCGATGCACACAAGCTAGTATTATTTCTTCAGTTGATGCTCAACTGGGTAAACCCCATCTTGGAATCTGCCATCATTTCAACATCCAGACATTTATGCTTGGCAAAGGTAGAAATGTGTGTGAAATCATGTTGAGATTCTAGTTAAATTAGTGATACAGAATTTGGAACTGTTCAGCAGTAGCCTAAACTATTATTGATTGTCATATGCATCCATTTCATTTGCACCAGTTATAATTTTATTTTTTTCTTCTGAAGAATGTCAAATCAATAATTCTGGAGTTATATCGGAAACTGTATTTTTTTTTACTATAGCTTCTACTGTTCTAGTTGTGTGTTTTAATTTTGAATTAAGCCTGTCTAAAGACAAGTGATTACAAATGACATAGATAGATTGTTTATACTTTTAAGTTAAATTTCGTTACTGTACTAATTTACCTCCCAATAATTTTATGTCAAAATCAAAAATAGGTTGGTTAGCTTTTCTGTGTATATCTTAAGCAAAGTATTATGTGTATCACCATACCTACCCCCTATAATCCATTAGGAGTAAGCTGTTTTAAATCAGTAGTTAACCCACTTGAAATTAAATATTGTGTGGCTAGATTCCTAACATAAGAATCAAGAAGTATAAACTCACTCTTGTGAAATCCTTGGCGATTAAACACCATGAATTATTGACATCAAGGCTTTTTTTTTTTACATAATCAAAAAATTCCATTAGAGAAACTTTTTCATTGATATAAAAGTAGGTTTCTGTATCCTTCATAGTTATAACATTTATTTAATCTTCTTCTCAAACAAATGTATAGTCCAATAGCAGAGAAAGGGCTTAAAAAAGACATTGTGTTTTAGCAGTAATCAAATCTCAGTTTGAAAAATAACATAATTAAAAAAAACTCTCTGAGTGGTTGTTACTGACAAAAAAATATGAAAAAAACTAAACATGGCAGGAATTTAGTTTAAGGGAAGAGAAAGCAACATGATAGTTGTCTGCTCTTCCCAACTAGTGTGCTCGGGAACAGTTGTTCCTCTTCAACCCTGCACATGAAAAATAGTTAGCTACAGTGGCTATAATCGTGATTATAAACAGAGGTGGTGGCGTCGACTAGGCGAGACAGAGAGATCCAAACATGCATTCGGAGTATTAAGTTTACATTGTATAGATTTAGGATTTAATCTTTATTTTAAAGAAATGGTTTGAATTGTTACTGACATCTAATTCAATAAAATATACAAGAAGTATCTTATTGATGGAACATGTTACATCTTTTTTGCTGCTGATCAAGTAGTAACTTTTGATTTGTAATTTTAACTGCAATTAACTGTTTATGGGAGAATAAAATACGATTTTGAGAACTGATTAACAACTTACAAAATTAATTATGTGTCCCTAAATTTAAATAAATCCTTAAAACTTATAATTAAAACTTTTTTTTTTTAGTGGTGTGTAAATTATACACCTTAAAATATAATGATTTATTTCAAAATAATCTAAGATAGGTGCATCAAGTAGAATTCTTTATCATTTAGAACATGTTATTCCTAGTCTTATGGAAAATATTGCTTGTTTTAGGAAGAACTAAAACGTTGATGTTTTTTGATGGATGTGCTGCCAATCTGGGCTGTACTATTTTATTGAGAGGGGCATCTGCTACAGAACTAAAAAAAGTAAGAAATATTGATTTGATTGATATGAGAACTTGGATCTTTAGTTATGAATAGATGTTATTTCAAAGGACAAATAGTAATTCTTGTAAAACTATTTTTAATACATACAGTTTTTGTATAATCTTTAAGCAGTATTATGTTTTGGTTATACTTGACAAAGATTTTAAATGCATAATCTAAAGCACTTTGAAGTCGATAAAGTTCTGAATCTTAGACTGCACTGAGACATAAACTTCAGAGCTGAACTGTAATTGAAATATTATTGTAACTTCATGTAAAGTAACTATTAGGTAGATTTTGTATCAGAAACTACTTAGCATTTCCAGAGCTATTTTTGTTATTTAATGTTTTTATGATCACCTCTATTTGTGTGTATTTTTAATGTAACATTTTTAGATATATCACCATTCAGATAATCTACACTAGTCAACATTCGTTTTAGATATAGCACCATTCAGATAATCTACACTAGTCAACATTCGTTTTAGATATAGCACCATTCAGATAATCTACACTAGTCAACATTCGTTTTAGATATATCACCATTCAGATAATCTACACTAGTCAACATTCGTTTTAGATATATCACCATTCAGATAATCTACACCAGTCAACATTTGTTTTAGATATATCACCATTTGGATAATCTACACCAGTCAACATTCGTTTTAGATATATCATCATTCAGATAATCTACACCAGTCAACATTTGTTTTAGATATATCACCATTCAGATAATCTACACTAGTCAACAGTCAGTAGAAGAAAGAAAAGTGATCATGAGGTGTCCTGTTAGATATGCTGGAGCTAGTGTAATATTAGATGTGTTAATTTACTGAGGTTTTGTTTTGTTAGGCTAAGCTGTGGCAAGTTTATAATTTTTAGATATATCACTTCAGATAACCTACACTAGTCAACAGTCAGTAGATTAAAGTAAAAATTTCTGACTTCAACTTACAGTTTATTTCAAACACAGTTTCCTTCTCTTCTCTCTCTTTCTCTCTATGTGTGTGTGTGTGTGTGTAGATATATATGTAGATAGATAGATAGACAGATAGGTAGATATAAGTACTTGTGTGTGAAATGTGAAATTAGATTATTAGATGTCATGTAAGATCCACGGGTAAAACTTGTTAAACTCTAATTAAAAGCTGGATTAGAATGTGAATTATGCCATTTTCCCCTCTGCACTTAATGCAGTGTTGATCAGAAATATCCATAACAATTATCTTAAGAACTTGGACATCTGTTTTCTTTTGGTTTTATGGTTCCCGTACAGGAGCAATAATTTTTTTTTCAAACAAAAGCACTAAACCTTAGCTGGAGCATTTCAGCTTCTTCCTGTAGAGCTGACATAAATTCCATGTGAGCATGAGGCGTTCTGTTAAATATGTAACATTAGATGTTTTAATGTACTGAGGTTTTATTAGACTAAGCTATGGCAAGTTTATTAATTTTTACATTTTAGCCATTTTTGTTAAAAAATGTATAGCAAGAAATAAATAGTACACACAAGAAGGAGACATTGTAATACTTACTTTGTAGTTGAGGCAGTTTGCACTTGGCTAGACATTTTTCCATTGAAATTAAGAAATTAAAAACTTAGATAATATACAAATTTGAATTTTATACTATCTTCATGGCAAGGATATTGACACTCCTTGATAGAAAAGTTTCTTAATTAAATATTGGATGTAAGTTTTAAAGGTTGTGAAATGCTCAAGCCTAGGCTAATTAGGAAGGGTTAAGTATATATTTCTGATAACAGTGAACTAGACACAGTAAATGTAACTAGTTTATGTGTTTGTTAAAGAATAATTTGATGGACATTACTCATTTACAATATCTGACTACATTAGTTTAAAATATAAAGTCTGTTCTAAAGTAATGTTATAGAGAAAAAAAGGTACTTGTAACTATTTATAATGATAGAGCTAGAAAAGCTTGATTTAATGCATACTATTTTCTGATCATTTCTTTTGCTTGTTCTGTTTAAACGGTGCTTATGCTGAATTACATATGAACCTTGCAATGCCTTAATTTGGAATTTGTGAGTTAAAACTGGTTTTGTTTGATGAATCAGAATTCCTCATTGTACATTTGCTCATAAGTTTCTGCTTGTAAATATGATACTAGGATATTCATGTAAGAAAATAGCAATAAAATTGCAAAAATCAAGTCCATTGGGTACCTGTATGTAAATTAGTATGTCATAGTTATGGAAACTTAAAAACTAATTGTGTTACGTAATGATTATACTATACTTGACCGGTATTATTAATGTCCCCCCACTATATTGGAAAATGAATTTATATATCTAAACAGCTTGAAAAATAATTCAATATTTAAATGTATTATTAGAAAATTCTTGAAAGAAACATCAAAGAAATGTTTTAGAAAATTATCAGACAAAAGCTGACAAGTTTTTTTGTTTTTTTTTACCTTCTGTGTCTTCATACCTATATTTAATATGTGCAACTAAAAAAAGTTATAATTATAAAAGGAAGTGAAAACAACTTGTACTAACAACTAAATTTCGTAATGTAAAAGTGCTTCATGGTCACAAGCATGTAAAATTGTTGAACTATAAAAATAGTTATTCACAGAAAAAGTAAAACTACTTTCCATAACTGCATAAGGGTGAGCTTGTTTTATATTATATTCTTGGCAATAGACCATCAATTATTTAAATATTTTTTAAAAATTCAGTATTTAATTAGAACTAACTATAATATAACATTTGTTTTCTTTGTGATGTTCAGAAGTGTGAGATGAAGTGGTCATATTATTTTCTTTGGATATTTAGCTTTTCTCTTTTTTTTAATACCTTCATCATATGATATTACCATTCTATTTGATAAATAACATCAATGATGTAATTTTCCTGAAAATATAGCAACTAGTACTAGGACATAAGAAAAATCGTTGACTCTATTAATAGGATCATGTGTTTTATATTTTGTTCCATTTTCTATGTCACGAGGTCTATCCTACAATGTAGAATAAGGAACAATAATATTTATGTAGAAGAATTGATAACATTTAAAGTATAACTGACAGAATGAAACATGCCATTGAAGGGTTGCCCTATTACTTTTATTCAATTTCTTGATAAATATATTCCAAAGGAAATAAGTACTCTTTGTGATGACTTGTCACCTGTTACTAATGGACATTATTATACAGATCACCTCAGTGCCAATTTTCTTAAATTAAATAGCAATATTTGTTTGTAAAATAGTGTATAATTAGACATGAATAATATATGAGAGCTGGTGGTTTATGGCTTATGCTTTGTTAAAAAGCTTGGTTTTTACTGAATAAATTGGATGCATATAATAATTGGCCTCACCTCTATTTTTTTAATGTTTATTCTTAGGTTAAACAGATAACACGGTTTATGGTATATGTTGCCTACAATTGGCGACTGGAACGTTCCTTTTTGATGGATGAGTTTGCAATGCCACCACCTCAGCCAGATGAACTCCCTGTTATTGTGGAATCCAATGAACATGGTGTGTTACATGAGTCAAATCAACTACCAGAAGATAAAGATAAATCATCCAGTGACCATGAAGATGAGCTGGATGCTACTAGGACAACTACTCCAATTAGCCATGAACCAAAACTCCCTCACAGACCTACTACTTTGTTTTTTAAAAACTCATCAACTGTTGACCATGAAAATTCTAAATCAAGAAACAACAGTGAGGAAGGTACATCCAAGAGGGAACCAAAGTACATTGAAGATTGTAGTGATCCCTTGAGGTTGTACCAGCAGTCAGAAGATGACTCCATTTTCCATCACAGTGGTAGTATCTTGCAAGAAGCTTCTTTACCTTTTACTAATCATTTCAGGAAAGCTCTAGATGATGTCATATTGTGTTGTTCTCCTAATATCAGAGTGAATTTACCATACTTGGAGACAGAGGCAGGGAGAAACTGTGAGCTTCGTCAGTTTTTTCCAGAAGAAATTTACTGGTCTGCACAGTTTCTTCGAGAAGAAGGAAGTGGACGAAAGATTAGCACACAAGAATTTGATGATTTCTCAGTTCATTCTCTAAATACTATAAATCATGAATCAGTTGAGTTACTTCCATATCACCCTTTTGTTTTTCAAAAATTGACTTGTGATATCCAAGAATCACTTTCCTTACAGTCCATGCTGGCAGACTTTCGTGCTCGGGGAGGAAGGTACCGTCTACTATGTCCCCATGATAGAGTATCTAGGGAACAGGATAGAAAAAGTTTGAAAGAGGATTCTTCAAATAACCTTGTAAATATGAAAAACTCTGAATTTCCTTCACAGACAGAGACGTATTGGGAAGGAAAGGTTCTGTATGGTGTATTCTATTAATGAAATATGAACTGATTTTAGGAATTACAGTTTTAGTATAAATGAGATGGAACTTTAATAATACTGGGATATAAATTCTTGCATCTATTGTGTGATTCTCTAATTGTAGTTGCTAATTTATTTCATTATGTGGTTCAACTTTGTGGTACACAGATGCCTCATATCTTACTCTCCTACAGAACACGTTAAATTTTACAAAATAACAAAAAAATCTAAACTTGTAATATGGAACATAGTTCTTGCTTTATTTCAGCCCTAGTTGTTAGCAGTTGTAGCAGGATTCAGTCAAAGAGGCTACTGTTCTTTGAGATAGTTGTATCCTACATCAACTTGTTTTAATTGGACTATTTTGCTTTATAAAATGGAGTGGAGATGGTTCTAGATACCAGTTATTCCATTTTGTAATTGATCAGCTACAGAGAAAATATGGATAAAAAGATCAGTTTTCAGTTTAATTCATGTCTGTTGCATAAAGAACTGACTTGTAGTAAAGTTTTGTTTTTGTCTTTATCCTAACTCATACAGTATTTAGCTACTGACAATGTATGTGTTCATATTTTACATTTTTAACATAACCAATAATTCTTAAGTATACATTTGAAAATAGTATGTAGATGTAAGCTATTCAAATATGTATATTTACTTTAAAGCAATGTTCTAAGAAAGATATTAAGCTTATATAAAGAAAATACAATTCTGGCTTAGTGTCTTGCAGGAAACTACCAAGTTTCTATGAAGCAACATTAATATAAATATTAATAGTTTCTAACTAAATATTATTAAGCCTATTTTTTGTGTGTGTGTGTCAGCACCATATTCCTGTCAGGCCCAACAAGAAATTATTAAAAGGTGTGAAAGTAAATAAAACTTCCTCAGTTTGTTATTAAATTTCTCTGGAATTGTTTTGTTGACTTAATCATTAATTAGAACACTTTTTTTTTATATTAACACTTTTCTGGTATTTTTGCTGTCTTTCTAATATTGAAATTTGTTAAATAGTTGATATTTTTTCAACTTTCGTCACTGTTCATAAATCTGGCACTTGAAATTAATCTGAGAAGTTGTTTAATATACAACAGTTTATCGAAGGTGAAATGAATGTTAGTAAAATTCAGATACCTAGAGAATAAACTGCTTTTGTGCTAAAAATGAGTCCTATATTATAAATCTCCCAGTGGATTTACAAAATAACATTTTGATCTGTAATAATAAATTACAAAACCTTGATCATAAATTGTTATTGTTTTTTCAGGTTGATGCACTCCATCCTTATAACCACCAACGATTAGTGGTGTTGTTTTGTAGTTACTCGCCTGCCTCCTACAATGCTCCACTCTATTGTGTTAGTCCTTGGTAATTTTGAACTTTAACATGATTTTAATTAAGTAATTGCGACATTGAACCTTTTATTGTAAGATCTTTGATTATTAAGAGGCAAATATTTACAGCAAATGCTCAGATTTTTATCACTGAAATATTAATTTATTTTAGCCCTTTCTAATTCAAAACAAATCTTTCCTGTGAGTGGAACAGTATAAAAGAAAAAAATAGTTCTAGCTTTTTTTCCCATTTCATTTGTTTGTTTATATTTTGTTTATTTCTTGTACTTCCTGATAATGTTTCAAAACATTTTTTTTTACACAAGCTGAGGTACCTGTTCTTTTTATGGGTTATGGACTTAAAAAAATGTGGGGAGCAGATGCTATGATAAATAACATAAAAATTCTAACTTTTACACAATTCATTTATAACATAATATGTTATTACTTTATTCATTATTACGTCACCAAAAGTTTTGTATAAGCTTTAAGAACTCACTATGTATATACTTAAAACATGGTATACACTGTGCGATAGTCAGGGTGACTTTGTTGGTAGCTGCAAAAGTAGTGATGGTAGGGGTGCTTTCTGTTACGAGCTCTAAACTCCCAGCTCTTAATATCCTTCCAAACTGTTTCACATTATTAATTAAATGATGGTCATTGACCACAGAAGTGTCTTATGAGCTGAAGTTGTAAGGTCACAGGTCAAAATAGGAAGTGGATATAACTCAAGAAACAGTTCTTCATATCAGCCTTATAGTGGCTGTTGGAGTAGAAATGTTATACGAGTTTATGTATCAGTGCAGTAGTTATGGCCTTTGTTTTTCATTGCATTCCTCCATAAAGGGTGCTAGTGCACTCTCTGAGATATATAAGATGTTTATGTTCCCTTCCCCACACTGTATGTATGTTGTATTATAGAAAAGAATAGATTTTTTTGTGTAAGGATGTAGCACCAGCCATGAATGTTGTTAACGTTAGCTTATGTCAAAGATAATATATGCTCAGTACCAGCAATAATGAGGAGTGGAGGGGTTGTGAACCACCCATTAACATGCCCCTTGTTCCATACTATTATCTCACAAAATTTGGTTGAGATTGGCCCTCTGACCTAGGAGTAGTTAGATAATGGACATACAGACAGACACAGATAATCTGAAGTCACTGTAGGTAAATTAGTTGTTTTATTTTTTTAGATAATCGTCACAGTGTGAGAGAGATTAAATACATTGATATGTGTAGTTATTTATCTGTTTCTGTTCATGACAACCTAACTGCTTATGTTTTTAGGGTTGTCAACATGGACTTTTATGGAAGAAATGATATACCTATAGGAGGTTTTTTAGAGAGGTATTGCTTTAGGTAAGCATCATCTTGAATCAGAAAAAAATACAAGAAACTAAAAACAGTTTAAATTTTTTAGATTAACTTATATTGTTGTTAAACAATTATGATTGTCTTGTTAAATTTCAAATATTTCAAGAACTTAGATTCACATAGAATATATTGATAGTTTTGGAAATAGGTGAATGATGTTCACAAATGTGGGATATGTTTAACACAGTTAAGGTCTTTTTGTTACAACATTTTTCAGAAAAGTTAAATGTGTTAAATATTGATTTATTAAGAATATATTACACTTGAAAAACACAAAATAAGGAACTTAATAATCCAAGTTTTTTGGAAGGTAGATCTGAAGAAGAGATGTTTATCTTTCAAAAACTTTTAGGTCATCTGGTTCTTTATTTTGTGATTTCCTAGTATCTTGAATTAATGAGAGAGCATTTTATGTATGAATTTCTTTTAAATCTGAATGCCAGAAAATGTACTTTCATTATTATTTTTATATTTAACATAGGTCCACTTATGCTTGTCCAAGCCAAACATGTGATAAACCAATGACAGAACATATTAGAAAGTTTACTCATGAGAATGGCTGTGTTCAAATCTTGCTGCATCGTCTAGAAACTCCTATTTCTGCTGCCCAGAATAATATTCTTATGTGGAGTTGGTGCCACAAATGTGGGCTGGTGAGCTGATTGTTTTAACTAAGGAATAAGTGTGACAATGTGGGATTGTAAACTGACTGTTTTAACTAAGGAATAAGTGTGACAATGTGGGATTGTAAACTGACTGTTTTAACTAAGGAATAAGTGTGACGATATGGGCTGGTGAGCTGATTGTTTTAACTAAGGAATAAGTGTGACAGTGTGGGATTGTAAGCTGACTATTTTAACTAAGGAATAAGTGTGACGATATGGGCTGGTGAGCTGAGTGTTTTAACTAAGGAATAAGTGTGACAATGTGGGATTGTAAGCTGACTGTTTTATCTAAGAAATAAGTGTGACGATATGGGCTGGTGAGCTGATTGTTTTAACTAAGGAATAAGTGTGACAATGTGGGATTGTAAGCTGACTGTTTTAACTAAGAAATAAGTGTGACAATGTGGTATTGTAAGCTGATTGTTTTAACTAAGGAATAAGTGTGACAATGTGGGATTGTAAGCTGACTGTTTTAACTGTGAGGAATAAGTATGACAATGTGAGCTGTTAAGCTGAATTCTTTAACTAAGGAATAATTTATGTAATAAGTGTGAATTGTTTAGCTGAGATTTTAAGTTATTAGTAATATAACTTGAGCATTGAGCTTGCTGAATTGATTGTTTATGTTTCAAGGAAATCAAGTTTAGATGAGAGTTGACTCTGATGTTGAATTGATGCTGTAAATGAATAATAGTGACATAAAGATTTTACGCACTGAGAGTCAGCAGTAGAATCGGATGATTTGGTAGGTTTATGGTATGCATTTGACAGGCAAAGTTGGTAGTTTGCTACATTGAGTTGGAATTTTAAATAATGATTTAAGTTTTACCATATTAACTCTAGATTCATTCTCTGTCATGTTGACTGACCTTTTAACCAGCATGTAATCATATGCCACCCAGAAACCATACACACTATATAACTGAAGATACTTAGTGTATCTTCACGAAATTTGGCAGGCTTTTAGTGCATATTACAACTCCCTTGTTCACAGTAAGTCAGATTTTTTAATAAAGTATTTATACTAAAGATTTGTTTATGTATTCCCAGTGCTTTTCCTTAGTCAGTCTGTGAGTGCAAAGCGATATTTTATGCTAATAATAATAATGCCTTTTTTCATCTTACAGATTTCATATTCAATTCATATAACCTCGAGAACTTCCTAAATGAATGTCAAAAGTATTTTTCAGTAAAACTTTATATCCTATTTGTTACATTCTCTACCTTAGCACTAACTGTAGCATAGTCAATAGTGTATGGTTAAGTGAAAACTGTTTACTTCTAGAATGACTCCATATTGAAACAGACAGTTATACTTACCTGTTTTAAGAGCATAAGCTACTAGCCTTTCACATTTGCTTTGGTTCAGTTTTACTGCTTTACAGATGCACTTAGGCTGTCTCAGTGTATACAGTTTATCATAGTGGGACCATTTTGTGTAAACAAACAATCATGTATGGGTGCTAGGATATTGATTATCACGAGAAGTTTTTGTATCTAATGTAATAAGATTATAATTTGTACATTTTAGTTACTTTTATAACAATAAATATGAATATACATAAAAAGACAAGGAATTTAGTACTTACATCTGGACTTGGATCCTTTACCTTCAATGGGTGAGGCACTCTAAACCTAATTTGTACTTACATCTGGACTTGGGCCCTTTACCTTCAATGGGTGAGGTACTGTAAACCTAATTTGTACTTACATCTGGACTTGGGCCCTTTACCATCAATGGGTGAGGCACTCTAAACCTAATTTGTACTTACATCCAGACTTGGGCCCTTTACCTTCAATGGGTGAGGTACTGTAAACCTAATTTGTTTATGACAATGTCTGTTTCATATATGCATTTTGGAAGAGAAAATGATTATCATGTATCAGAATAGAATGTCCTAAAACTACTATAATTTAACTGGCTTTCTAAGTAAACTATAAATAGATTTAAAAAACTATGTTAACTGTTTAAACTGAACACCACAGTCCTGAATATTGAAACTTAGGCTAAATATATAATTATGAGTTCCAAAATGTATTAACTCGTATAAGGTCATGTAAAGAAAAAACTGCTCATTCTATTGGTTGTAAATAATCCATTAGCAATGTCAGATAATTATTGACATTTTTGAAAGACTGGATGATACAGAAGGTATATGTCATGGGAGTTTGACATTTTCATTTATGTCTTGTCAATACCTATAATATGTGTGTGTGAATAATTTAAGTGGACATTCAGAAAATCATATAAAGGTAGAAAGAAAGTCTAAAATGGGCAATTTGGAGTGAAGTTGTATTACACGACACAGACTAATCATGATGGATAATTTATTTAAATATTTTTGTTTGAAACTAAGAAATATAACTTAGATAATATAAACATGTAAATGATGAGGTACATTTTCATTCTAAACTTATTAACATACATTCATAATATAGTTTAATTTAGTTTTAAATATAACTGTAAAAAAGGTCATGACATGCACACTTTGACCCACTCTTACTCAGAAGGTTAAGACATGTAGTTTTGTCTCTACTTAAAGATGTATGTAAGTTGCCTTTTATAGACACTGCCAGAAGCATATTACACAAACATAATATCTTTAATTACGTAGATTTGATCTATCTGAGTATTGTCCATTTAGTTTAGTTTAGAAAATATTTAAAATGAGTTCTTGACGTTAAGAATTTTTACTCACTAGCTTACACCTCTTGTGCCTTTGTCTCAAGACACTTGGTCTTTGTCTTTTGCCAAATATCTGGAGCTTCGTTTCCATGGCAGCCAGTATGGAGTAAGAACAGTATCAGAATGTGGTCACTCAAAGCACCATGACCATCACCAGTATTTTGCACATAAGCATGTTGTTGCTTCATTCAAGTATGTGTTCAGGATCTTTAATGATCTGAATAGAAATTTAAGTTTTGCTTTAATTACCTGAGTACTTGGTTCTTCAATAACTTGAAATTTAAGGAAATATTCTGATGCTACTGAATTCTTTTATAATCTACAACACTACATTTTCTTTCCCTTGCTTCTTATATTCCTCTGGAAAAACAAAACATTAACAGATTTCATACAATTTTTTTAAGTTAAGTATTTGATTGAATATATGTTAGTTCATCTTAAAGATATAACTGGATTCTTTTTTTATGGATTTGTTTTGGAGAATAATTTTACAATTGCCTTTGCATATTGTCATTAGAAAATATGTTTCTAAAATAAACAGAAGTTGTATAAAAACAAATGAAGGTAGGTGAAACCTATTGTATTTTCCAAGTTTTAAATGCTGCAAGTGAAGGATTGCATGCAACTCGTATATATGTTGGTTTTTAATATTCTTGTAATTAAATTAACTTGTATGTAAATCAATACAGTTGAATAGTTTTGGGAATTAAAACTAACAAGACTAAATCTAAGAATTAAGTAATGTAATGGAAACTTCATTCATCTGAGTTTGCACCATCCAGTAATAATTTAAAAAAAACAACATGTTTTAACATTGTCCATAAACCCATAAATAGCAGAAAACCTTTTCTTTTAATGATGCTAGTTAAAAAAAGACCACTGTTTGTCCAAAAAAATGAGATTTTAAAGTTGGCAAACCTCGTTTCTATTTTAAAAGAAACAAAAAAAACTAAGAGTAGGCATGACATTAACTTCTTTGTTTTAGAGAATAACTATACAACTACTACTTTTATTTTTCTCTCTGAAATATTATTTATTTATTTACTTCTAGGTATACTCCTATTGTGATGAGAGAGCTTGTCTTGCCATCATCTGTGATAAAAATTGAACAACAGGCTGTAGCATCTATCAAGCATGCTACAATAGAAGAAATAAAGCATCTAGCCATCAGGCAAGTTAAACAATTTAAAATGAGACATTATATCTTGGGCATTAATTTTTTCATCTAGTGCCACATGATATTGTGTTTAGGCACAGTGTTAATGCAGCCTTGTGGGGAAAAGTACCTTCACTGTTTAAAAACATTCTCAAATACATTTGAAAATGATTAAACTTCTTATAATGATTTTTTTAAATTTTCATAAATGTTTTTTATAACCTTTGCATTTTGTGGTTTGGCCAACTTCCTTCTCTCAAACAAAATTACATGCTTAATAGTTCTCTAAATGTCACGATCTGTAAGCCCCATCTGGTAAAACAGGTATTAAAATGTATGTTATATATTGTAAATTTTCAAATGGTAACCGTGGTAGTTAAAAGATTAGTTCTCTCCACACAGGCTGGGTCAATTTGACTGACCACATGACCTTTTTGTACTCATATAAAGTCTTTATAGATTAGAATTGTTTAACTTTTAATATATTGTGTATATCTTTACAAAATTTGGCAGTCTTTCAGTAAACATTATAAGTCTTTCACATCCAGAAAATCATATTTTTTAGTGAAGTACTTTTAATAAACTAAAAAAAAGGATTTGACCTTGAATATATCGTGTATTTGTTTTGAATAGCCCATTTGCAAAATGATTTTCATATTAAGATTAAAAATACTTTTCTTCATCTCAAAAATCTCAAATTTCATTTGCATAATCTCTAAAACCTTCTAAATATATTTCAAATGTTTGTTTTCAATAAAACTTTATATTTTATCTGTTATTTTCTCTACTCTAACTCTATACAAGGTTGGTCAGTTTGACTGACCTCATAACCACCAAAAAAATTCTAAATAAATCTAAATTACCCTCCTTTTCTTTCTAGAATGACTTCAAATGTAGCATGAAACTACATTCGTTTATCCTAAGTAGCTTTAAACTCATAACAGTATACATCTATTTATAATTAAATTTTATTGTTTTATTGTCCTTTGAACCATGTCTAACTACTATTTGTGCCATTATAAGTTGTAAATCACTTGTGTAACATGCAGGTCAAGTTATGCTATCGAATTACATTACCTATGAGTTACTCCAAGCTGCTCGTGTGCATGTCTTGTGAAATATTTTTATTATGTTATTATTATTATTTATTTTACCTAATCTTACCTTAACTAACCTAAAGAGATCTCTATTTTTACATTTTAGTTATTTTTATAATAATAAATAAAGAATAAACAAGAAATAAAGTACGTACCCGAGTATTCTTTTATTTTGCTGTTGACTATCGATGACTCTTAACCCTACTTTTTTATACTAATAATATTAGTGCATTAAATAATGCACCAAAGAACATAGACTAAACAACATGCAAAAAGCAGACAATTTCTTCTAACAATCACAATTTTTCTAGCTTTCTAACTATGCGACAAGAGCCGTTACAAATTCATCCAAGCTAGCCGTTGTGATTCCCATTGGAACCAAAGTTGTATTACAAGTGAAATTGACTATTCTGTGTTCAGAACACAACGTAATAGAATATGTCATTTGATAGATGAAAACCATGGCTTTGTATTGATTATAGATAATGTATAATTAAATGTAAGAGAGAATTGTTAATAAATCCTGAAAGAGAGGATGTGGCAGGAGGGGTCTGATTTTCTATTTGATAGCTCTGTAACCAAAAAAATTTGAAGGCTATAAAATTATGGTTTGTTTGAGCAGTGACAATTTTATAGTGAGTAATTTATGTTGAATTTTGTACTTTTTAGAGGGGTGATGGATAAAATAGAGGAGAGAAGATACCTAGAGAAAATGTATCACGTGTATCACACTACGGGAAATTCAGGATTTTTAAAAATATTGCCTTATAGAATTAAGAACTTAACTTACATACTATTAAAATATGGATTTTATGCTATACTAATTGGTATAACATAAACAAAAAGTAGTTTAATAAAATTTTGAATTTAAGACACTAAAACCTTATGTCATGCACAGTAAAGGGTACCTGTGGAGATAGGGTTAAAGGCTTCAAAACTAGTATTTATTTTTGTAGCTACTTTATGCATTATGTGGATTTCACTGTATATTTTGAACATATCCACTACTGAATTAATACACTATGCATAGTGTTTACTTTCAGCTAATATGCAGATATCAGACTTACAGTTTTTCTCTTTCCTTTATGAGTGGATACAGTGTGTATAGCACTATAGTAGAAAGACTGTGTTCCCTAAAAGCAGACTTCCAGGGTACAAGGTTTGAAAAAAGCATAAATGAAATGATGACAAGCCAACAAGTAAGTGAGAATCCTTGATACTATCTTAGTACTACTTAATACTGAATTTATTGTATCAATGTATTGTATCTGTTTTGTATACAGTCTACAATACAAGATGCAATTTGAATACTGAGTATTGATGCTGACTATTTTTGTTAATCAGTCTGTTCATTGACACAAATGTATTTGCCTGTAAATTGTAAAGATCAGATAATAATTAATATATATATATTAAACCATAATAGTGGCATGAGTGATTATTTGTAATATAAAACAAATCACAAATAATTACTCTTGCTGTTATTATGGTTACAACGTGTGTACTCAAATTGAAATACCGAAAACTTTTTTCTTTTTGAATTTAAACTCTCCTACCTTTCCATGCGAGTTATTTAAACTCTCCTACCTTTCCATGTGAGTTATTTAAACTCTCCTACCTTTCCATGTGACTTGTTTGAACTCTCCTACCTTTCCATGTGACTTGTTTGAACTCTTCTACCTTTCCATGTGACTTATTTGAACTCTCTTGCATTTCCATGTGAGTTATTTAAACTCTCCTACATTTCCATGTGAGTTATTTAAACTCTCCTACATTTCCATGTGAGTTATTTAAACTCTCATACCTTTCCATGTGAGTTATTTAAACTCTCCTACCTTTCCATGTGAGTTATTTGAACTCTCCTACCTTTCCATGTGACTTATTGCACATGCATCGAGGGATTTGTATATAAGCTCTACTTTCCAACCATAAATTTATTTGTTTGACAGTCATGTTTTTCACATTTTGCAGTCTTTGTAATGATGAATTTTTGAGGCTAATACATCTGTTCCTGCTTCACTTAGTTCTTCTTTTCCTGTTCATATTTCTTCTGTTTCTATTGAAACTTTATTTCATCAGTCTTCCTCAGGCATGCAAAGAATTCCAGCCACTGCATTATTGATCTACTTATTTCCTCTATTCATCCCAAGCCTTTTGGGGATATCCCCAGCAAGTACCAGGGTTTCTTAGATGCCAATAAGATGCATCAGTACCCTCTTTCTTCTTTTGTTCATGAACAAGCCAGTTCTTTTGCTCAGGATTTGTCACATTTTCGTAGGAGCAGGATTTACCAGCCATCCCATCTCTGGATGAAATTTGTGAACTTATTTCCCTTTTTTTTCCAATGTATGTAACATTTTAAATGTTGAACCTTTTTCTGTTTAACATGAAGAACCCAGTGTCTTGTTACAGGATATCATTTGGAGTCTTTATTTCTTTCTTTCTTCTTGTCCTGAAATATAGATTGCTGCTTATGCTTTTAGAAATCAAGAGATGTTGTTTTTTGTTTTTTTCCACATATTTCTCATTCTCCTGGCCTTTTAGTATTAGTGGGATCATCTTCTTCTATTCAAATTCGATGATGCTTTAATCCACTTTAATCCACAATAAAAAACTGTCCCATTTTTTTCACCATTGCAACTCAAAACACCATAGTATATCTATTAAAAACAGTCATTTTAAAGAAAGAACCCAACATAAACAAACAAAAAATTAAGGAATCCACCTTAATTGAACAAAACAACCCTACTCGAAACCAACACCCTGAGGTGCCTAGATACCTCTTCTAAGTTTTGCAACAGTATCCGTGTCGGTGTAAATTACTTGTACCTGATGATGTCAAAACGTTGTACATTTGCTGTTGTGTTAAACTTATATTAAAGTATTTCTTCATTACCCATTCAAGCCATCTCCAACCATTATTACTTCTTCTATTCATTTATCAGCTCAAACTGTAAATGCTTATAAGGAGTTTTGACAGGGTTTGCTCATGTCATTTTTCACACTGTTTTCATTTTCATGCCATAATTATGAAGACTTTACAACTTCCTTCATCAGCAAAGTTATTTGCTTTAAGCTGTTCTCATTTTCTGATTCTTATTTTGATTCTGGTTTATTTTGACATATGGCTTGCATGTTCTTTTGATATATTTGCATGTAGAGCTTTTTAGCAAGGGATTTGTCTTCCACCCACCACCCACCCCAACTGTTGTTGATGAATTCCACTGGGCCTCTTTCTTGTAAACTTTTGTTGTTGCTGCTATTTCTCCTGAATTGGTTTGTCAGTCCAAATAGTCTCGTCAGCAGGAGTTGATGAGAGCTTTGTCTTCACATATTACTTCAGGTCATAGTCATCCTCTTTAATGTCCAAGTAGTACTAGTTGTCCACTTACAGTTGACCACTTCAGCTGCTGCTATTGCTCAGCCTTCTGCTTCTAATTTTTGTCATTCCTTTCATGTTGCAGAAAGGTGATACAAGTGGGATGGTCCACCTCCCACTTCAGACAATAACTTTCTTCAATTTCAAATTGCTCTTCCTCTCAACTTGTAGAATACTTGGATTTGAGTATTGGGTTATTTAGTTTTGTTTTTGTATCCATTGTCATCGAACATTTTCTCTTTCAAAACTTCTGCTTTCTTTTCACCTTCCATACAATCCACTTTCTGTTCAGCTGTTGAATATGGAAATTTCACATATTCTGTTCATAGGAGCTATCAAAGATGCTTTAAGTTTCCCTGGAGTTTTATTCACATTTTTTTTTGTAGTGCAAAAAAAACAAGAGATTGGAGACTGGTATTAGATCTGTACCATCTCATTCCTTATCCCATCTTTCAAGATGGAACCTATGTGAATTTTATGCAAAGTCCATCTGTGTTGTCAGAATCCCTTGTTTTTAGTTTAAGCATTATTGTAACAGAGTTTTATGTAGATAAGTTGGAAAAGTTTTGTTTTGAGTTCAAACATTATTGTAACAGTTTCATGTAGTTAATTTGGGAAGCCACTGGGGAAATTACAGTTGGGAAAAAATAGAAAATCTTCAGCAGACAAATCAAATTATGTGTACATTTGTGAATAAGTAGAAAAATATTTGTCAAATTATTTTGTTTTCTTTGCTATTCAATATCATTTTTGGTGTAACAGAAGTATTGCCATTTTGTAATTTATATAGTGTACATATAAAAAATGCATAATCTGTGTTAATTTTGTTTTACAGGATGAAAGAACTAAATTTCGAGAGAAAATTGAGGAAGTTCAACTTCGATTGACTTCACCTTCTTTAGAAGAAATCGATGTAAGCCAAGGGAATGAGAGGAACAACAAAGGTTAGATATTAGTTAACAACACTGACCTAAGATAGTAACAAATAGATAAAGAAATTATTACAAAACATGTAGCTAGAGGGTAGCTACAAGTTTTAAAATAATTGTGCTTGATACGGTATTTATTCTGAACTTGGTATTGCTAGTGTGGGATCACATTTGAGATGATAATTTGTTACTTGCATTTAGTGGCTGACTTAAGCCTTCCATTAGACACATGTTGGGTAACAACAAAACTGCTATTAATTTTGCCTACCTTCAGATTTCATTGTGAGAACATACCTGCATTTTGCTGAAAAAAAAATCATTTTACACTCATGTAAAAAAAAAAAGCATAAGAAGTCATTTAGAAAATTCTAAATCTTTAATATCTATTTAATCAAACAAACTCAGTGTCAGTATTATTGGTTTTAGTTATATGTCACAAAAAAAAATTGGCTTTAACCTTCTGTCAATAATGTCGATCCATTGGAGAGGGCCATCATGTGACACAGTGAAGTGAAGGTTGAGAATTTTAATTTTCTCTTCAAATTAAAAAAATAATACTTAGATCATATAAAAATTGAATTGTAAACTACATTTTGATATGATGCTAGGCTTGTTGACATATGTTGATAATAAAAATGTTTAATTAAATTTTGAATGTAATTCTCCCAAAGGTTGTGACATGTGCCCCCAGGTGCTGTAATTGTGACAGACAATCTGTTTATATTCAGAAGGTTGAATATATTATATTAAAACAATTTTGAATATGCAAATTGTCAAGGCATGTGAAACCACAGCTGATATAAAATTCCAGTGTAATGATATGTATCAGAACAACATTGCTTATAATGAGATGCCACCAAAAATTGCTTGCATTTGAGAAAGATGTGTAACAGCCATTTTCAGTGTACAACCACACACAGAAAGGCACGGGTGTAAGGTTGATGTAGAAATGCAAGGATCAAAAGTAGACAAAAGCTTTAGGTTTTAATAAGTTCAAACAGTTGTGTTACAAAGGAACATAAAAGTTTCCTAATTATGGAACTAATTTCCATAATTTATACAAATATGTTATTGCTATTAAGCTTAAAATAAGTATGCATGTGACTTTGTTGTTATAAACTTTATAAGTTCCAGAAAAAGATTCTAAGATGCATATAGTATATCAGCTAAGGCTTGTCGTGATCTAGATGTTTGACTAAACTGTTATTCTGAGGGTTCCTGATTTGCATACTGTTGCTTTAATATCATGTTCCAAACTCTGGGTACTATTGATGCACTACAAGTGATGATCAGATCCCACTGTTTCTTAAGAGCAGGCATCATATCGGGAGGGCATCCAACACAAAGAGTCAAATCGAACAGTAGAACCCTTTCCGCCCTTCCCCAAGGTCTTAGGTACAAGGCCCCGGGCATCATAGAACCTCCACACGCCACTGCTTAAGAGTAATATAAGAGTTGGTGGTGGATACTGTTGACTATTTGCCTTCCTTTTAGTCCATCTGTTAAAAATTAGGAAGACTATTCATAGATGGATAGTCCTTGTGTATATTTTGTGAAAATGTTAAAACGAACAACATCTTATCCTATTTTGAAACATTTTTTTGTTTTATCCTTTCTTTCAATAAGTATGAACTTGTATGATTTCTTCAACCACTGTCATGATTTTTCATTGTTGTCATGGTTTTGTTTTGCTTGTGTTTTTTTTAATTTTTCCCATAGTTTGGTAGAACATCATTATTCTTTTATAATTTTATGTTCTCTATGCCATATTTCAGTAGGATTAAATGTGTAAATAGTAATAGGTTACGAGAATGGTTTTCTTGATGTTTTCAATTCAGATAGTATGTGGGAAATTGCTTTTTTAAAAAAAAGTTTTTTTATAATGAGGACTTTTAAACATATGATGCTTTGTAATCTTGTTAAACATTAGTGTGAAAAGCTTTTCTCAAATCCTTCACTGATTTTAATAAGGGCAAATTTATTCACAGACACGTATCGCCCTGTGTGGAGAATTGTTGACACTGTCGTGCAGTTAAGATATCAAATTGCAGAGGCTGTTCAAAACTGGAACTCAAAGTACGTTCTAAACCAGTTTTATTTTGCTTCATCTCTGGTCATTTATACAACTACGTTTTTTCTTTAATGTATGTGATTTATTTCCTTCTAACATATTAAGTTCTGTAAGAATGAAGAAGTATTTCAAGCTTTTTTTAAATAATTCTTTCATAATTAGTGTAAAAGTATATGCTCTTAACTATGTGTAGTGAAACAGTATTTAGTTTTTACTGGTATGTGATGTACATCTTTTATAGTATCAATGATGTACAATTAAGTTTTCGTTAGTGTTATAATATTTTATTGTGTGCCATCAGTTCACCATTTCTAATCATCCATGTTCATGTATTAGGATTAGTCATTTTTTTGTTGTTGTTGTTGTTTTGTTTTTAGAGCCAGTGATGTATTTTTTTTATGAACTACCTAGGAATGGTTACAAGATTAACTCAGAGTTTGTCTTGATACCAGTGAAAAGTTAAATGGGGAAAACAAAATTGGACATAATAAAAATATATTTACATTTGTCAATTCAGTAGACCTCACATCATTAAATAATGTTTTCTCTGGATAAAATGGTTTTTCACCCTTTTCAGGCACTCTTTCAATTTATTAATATTATTTTTGACCTTAGTTTTTTATCAAAATGATTCACTGCGTGAACTAATTTTCCCCGTTTAAAAATGTAAAGAATGTGTTGTTTATTAATTCTATTAATCAGTTCCACTTCAAACTTTTCTTCTGTTACTCTTTATTATTATTATTTACTTTTCATAACTGCTCATGTGCTATATATGTTTTCAAACCATTTCTGTAGTGGTAATACCCTTCACACCATATTGCTTTATATCTATAGAACTGATTTAAATCACTTGAATATTTTATGTATTGGCTCCATATTCCTCTTCCAGCATGTATACTTTTTAACTGTTAATCACTTCTGTATAAAGAAGATAAAAATGAGGGAGGGGGGGATCTACTACTGTATTTTGTTTGTGTGTGTTTGCATGTGATTAGAGATGCAGCAAACAAATTATCTTGATAACCTTACTTGAATATCACACTTACATGAAACGTATCTTTTAAGTTACATAATATATAAATTGTAAAACTTACCACATTATCAGTTTGTTCACTCTGATTATTCTACCCCCTAATTCTATGTCCTTGTGATATGTCTGGCAGTTAGTTCGTATAATATTGACATGAAAATCAATTTACTCAAATCCTTTTTAATGTTTCCTAGACATTTAACATGTTTGTACATACAATGTTCTTGTTATTTTTTATCTTTCTTCTAAAGTTTTACATGTATATAGTAAACATTTTTATTTTTCAATGTATGAATACAAAAGTAAATTTACATTGTGATCAATTACTAGAGGAGTTATTGTGGCTGGCTGCCAGCATGCAAGACTTTGTGATTCAACTATAGTTGAAAGTGAAAATAATTCTATTTAAAATTGTAGTTTCACTTAGTCAAAAGTCATAAATATAATGAAACAAAATTTTAATTCAATTCTGATCAGAAGCTAATATTTAAGAACTGTCATCTCTTTGTGGGACAGCAGCAAGTTTACAGACTTTGAATACTTTAAATATCTTTAATGTAATCAACCTGCTTTTATGAATAGAAAGTAACTGAATCATACTATTTGTATTGAGCCTTTCACCATTAACTTGAAGTTTTGTTCTGTTATTAACTCTCAAATTATCAATTTGTTTTTATACTGTTCACAACTGGACGTGCTCACATACTGCATCATAGTGATTAATTTTATATTTTTCCTAGTTACAACTTTTAGTGTAAAGAACTGATCAGAAGAGTGGGTGAATTCATTCATTAATTATGTACAATTGATAGGAAACTCCAGTTGTAATTAGTGGGATTAATTGCAACTCTGGATGGTATTTTGTGCACAAATAATTTGGGAAATTTTTTTTTTAAATCTGATGGGGGGTCTATATCTAATGAAGCTCATCAGGTACTTTTATAGATGTTTATTTCAGCTAAAAGTATGTTTAAAAAATCTGATGGGGTCTATATCTAATGAAGCTCATCGGGTACTTTTATACATGTTTGTTTCAGCTAAAAGTATGTTTAAAAAATCTGATGGGGTCTATAACTAATGAAGCTCATCGGGTACTTTTATACATGTTTGTTTCAGTTAAAAGTATGTTTAAAAAATCTGATGGGGTCTATAACTAATGAAGCTCATCGGGTACTTTTATAGATGTTTATTTCAGCTAAAAGTATGTTTAAAAAATCTGATGGGGTCAATATCTAATGAAGCTCATCGGGTACTTTTATACATGTTTGTTTCAGTTAAAAGTATGTTTAAAAAATGTGATGGGGTCTATATCTAATGAAGCTCATCGGGTACTTTTATACATGTTTGTTTCAGTTATCAATTAATTTTGTACATTTCTACATCCACCACTTTCAGGTTTTCATGTCGTATGGTATGGTTTGCTTTTTGAGGGTACATGAAATAGATAAGTTAAAGTTCATGAACTTTTCAGTTCCCACATTGAATCTCATTAACTATGTTTTTGAGTTTTTTTTTTTATTCAGATATATCCATCCTATGTCCTTTCAAGTAACAACTGAATTACTAATGAAAAATTACTTACTATGAGTTGTCCTAAAACTCAGCAATTTATTGCAGTTACAGATTAAATAGATAAATAGATTATTAAATAGATTACTTCGCATATATTGAGTGCAATTTTTCATAAAAGTCAAATGATGCTTGATCAAGATATGAAGTCAAAAACCAGTATTTTAATATTTTTAGCACATTTTGATCCTTGTCAAAGTATATTTAAAGAGGTAATTGCTTTACAGGTAGCTAAGAGATGAATATAGTGTTGTTTATATTATGACATTTATGAACTTTGTATTGTAATTAATTTGTCATGAATTATGATGTTAAAAGACATATGTAACAAATATAATACATATCGTTTTCCAATAAAGTATTATTCAATTTTCATATAGTATAAAATATCATTATAATAAAAATTAAAATTGTATTACCATGCAATTTTTATTGAAGAAGAGTAATTTGGTAGGATCCAAGACTTTATGACAACTACTAAGAAGGAGGATAGGTTATCTAAAGGAGCAGGTGTTGCTCAGAAACCTGCCCCTGGGTTCCAGCAGCTTCCAGTTTCTCCAGGTTTTGATGTGTCTCACGTAAGTTCACTGTTTACATATTATTACATATTATCTGTTGTTTTTTTTTAGCTTGTGAAAAGTAAATTGCTGTGTTCCCTGACACCTTGCCACATGTAGAAGTAAAAGTGCACGTTGTATCTTTCTTGATATCATCTTTGTTGTTTTTCTGTTTCAAAAATAAGAATACCTTAAATCAGGGCTTAGCAGTTAGCATGTCAAACTGTGAATCTGAGGTTTCACTGCTGCAAAATTATGAATATGTCCTTGTGGTTGTTTTATTTCTTCTTTGCTTTTGTGATTGTTTTCTTTTCTTCTTGTTCCTGTGGTTCTCATTCGTGTGTATTTTTCTCTTTGTTCTTGTGATCTTTCCGTATTTTGCTTGTTTTTTTGGTTTTATTTTCTCGTAATTTTGATCTTTTTTATATTTGAAGTATCAGTAGACAGTTCCGATCTTTAAAGCATTACTTGAATGGTATTAAAATTAGGCACCAAAATGCTCTGAAAATGATTTTTTTTAGTAAAGATGTGTTTCCAAACAGAATTTATTTTATTTTATTATGCTACTTTCAAATGCTTTTTTATTGTTTTTTCAAAACATTGGGTCTATATAATTATTTACTACATGCTTACTAAGCCAACACATACCATGCTGTGTCCATATCCAGTGGCACCTAATACCAGGTAACAATTAAGTATATGTGATTACTCTTTTTACCTAAGTTAGCTGTTTCACATTTCCCTATCTTTTAGTCATTTGTCTCATTAGAAACAAAATAGTAGGTTATGGCTGAAGAAGAGAATGAAAATGAAACTTTATCATAACTGTCTTTCTATAAATATCTTTTTATGAACAGCAAAATTGGTCACAAACCACAAGGTGGTATCATTTTGACAGTTCAAAACAAGGATTATTAAAACACTTTTTTTTCCAGTCAGTGGGAGAAATTTTCAGAACAGTAGAAAACATAAAAAACATACACTAACAACCATTATGTGTATTTATACTTGAAGAAAACAATCATGAAAAAAAAAACTACTGGCTAGTTTACCATCCATCCATATTCAATAGAAAGTCAAATAGCAAAATAGGAAATTATTGTATACAGTTGGAAGTAGCTTAAAGTGAAAATCCTTAAACTTCTTGTTGTTGGTTATCTAACTGTAAATGGAAAAAGTCATTACAGTGTACACACATACAATTCTAACTTTTGTTGATTTAAGCTAAAGACTTGTTTTGTAAAACTTTTATTTAAGATAAATTCAACTGTATTGTGTCCATAATATTAAAATAATCCTGTATTTTGTTTCTTAGTTCACGGGCTTAAACTACAAAGTTTCTGAACACTTAGAATGTATTTCAGAATGTTGTTAAACCATGTCAATAGATATTGATTAATGACTTCTTTAAAGACTGAGTTTAAATGTAAAGTTTGAGCTTGAAATGCAAATTATCAAATTAGCTGGTGTTTTTACTTGAAATTATTGAAGTGATATTTGGTGTTTCTATTACTAAGTATTGTCTTTTTTATGAATTATGGCTTATCCCCTTGTTTTATACATTTGTATGAAAAAATTCAATTTAACATTAATAATCAGCACAGATACCAGTGTTTGGAGCAAAGAGTGTGTTTTGACTAAGATAGAATGTATTTGGCTTGTTAATGCAAATTCCAAACAGAAAATATTTTGATTACTATATTGTGAATATCTTGACATATTTAATTAGTGACTGTCTTCTTTCTTGATTTAGGACATATATTTAACTGGATACTTCTTTCTGGTGGTTGTCAAAAGAGAGGACAGTTTGATTACTATGTTGTGAATATCCTAACATATTTAGTTAGTGACTATCTTCTCTCTCAATTTAGGACATATATTTACCTTTCTCTTCTGACAACCACCAGAAAGAAGTATCCACAGTTTGATTATTATGTTGTGAATATCCTGACATGTTTAATTAGTGACTGTCTTCTCTCTTGATTTAGGACATATATTTAACAGTGATACTTCTTTCTGGTGGTTGTCAAAAGAGAAGATAGTTTGATTATTATGTTGTGAATATCCTGACATACTTAGTTAATGACTGTCTTCTCTATCTCTCAATTTAGGACACATGTTTAACTGAAGTACTTCTTTCCAGTGGTAGTCAGAAGTTTTTAAATATTGAGCTTCCTAAAACATTGACTCAGACAACAGTTGAAAACCTAAGCATACCAGAAGATGATCCTTCAAAGAATCTTCAGGAAATGGTCATTACATCAAGTACTGAGATCATTGAGGAAGATTCCAGTCTTCTCCAGCCCCCATTCTTGAGTGGGTCTAACAAAGACCTGAATCAATCCATCTCTTCTGAAAGCTATTATTCACAGACTTCGTCTTTCTCTGAGTTAGGACTGTCATCAACAGAGCAGAAAGCCCCTAATCCTTCCCTAGAACCACTGAAACCAAACTTAACTGCTTCTATGAAAAAGTTTCCTAGTACAGTTCTCTTCAGAGGAGAGTCTGGTATTCCAATCCTACACAGGGTAAACAGTGAACCTGTAAATGTTGGCAGAGGCCCAGTATCTTCACTTGTGGATAACAAACAAGATAAGATATTAGAAGGTAAGTTATTAAATATATTTTGGTGTATGTATTTTTGTATTATTATTATTATTATTTCAACATCCACATGTGTAGGCATAGCACAGGTTGCCCTTTATACAACTTTGATCTAAAATAAACAAATCTTTATATATTCTGTGCTTTTTATGTTATAGCCATTTGCAAATAGGCATTTATAAACATTTGCATACATCAGCAGAAAACATTAATAATCAAATATATATACACATAAACACAATTAGCCAATATATCCATTTAGTACATATCCAGCAGCACCTAATACCAGGTAACAATAAAATAATTGTGACAGTTCAGCTGTTTCACACTTTCCTACCACTTTAGTCATTTGTCTCGTAAAAAAACAGTAGGTTATAACTGAAGAATAGAATGAAAACAAAATGTGATCATAGCTATCTTTATATAAATATCTTTTTATGAACTGCAAAATTGGTCACAAACCACAAGGTGGTATCATTTTGACAATTCAAACAAGGATTATTAAAATACTTTTTTTTTTCCAGTCAGCGGGAGAAATTTTCAGAACAGTAGAAAACAAAAAAAACATACACCAACAACCATTATGTGTATTTATACTTGAAGAAAATAGTCATGAAAAATAACCAACTTGAAGAAAATAAATGCTGTCCATTATTTGATTTTTTTTATTGATTGTGTTATTTAAACAGCACAAATACATAAACAAAATGAGCTATATATCATTCATTTTTTCTGTTATACTGAATCTTTACATCTAGTTTTTCCATAACTTGATACTTGTTTGATTATCTAGTATTTAACTTCAGATGCATTAATTTGAATATTTGGGTGGTCTACTTGTTTTTTCATGGTAATAAAATGTTGAAACTGTAACATTTCATCCCACAATAGTTATTGTATCACTATGTTGAAACTGTAACATATTTCATGCCACAATAGTTATTGTATCATTATGTTGAAACTGTAACATATTTCATGCCACAATAGTTATTGTATCACTATGTTGAAACTGTAACATATTTCATGCCACAATAGCTGGAGTAACCCGTCCCCTGAATGGGAGTAATGTAAGTTCATGGTTAATGAAAGGTTATCTTTGGACATGAAAAGTTGCTTCCCTTATAGTAATTGTGAAGAACATAAAAATCCCCATAAGAACTTCAAAACACAAAAATGTGAAACCACAAATTTGCATGTATCTCCACATGGACCAAACAAACCTTCATGCCAAATTTGGAGATGATCCATCAGCATGGTTAAAGTATTGGTAAAAAAATGGAAAACCAAAAATTTGTGTGTCTCTCTCCATGGACCCAATGAATCTCCATACTAAATTTGGTGAAGATCCATCCACACCCTGCGAAGTAGTTACATGGACATATAACAGACAGTACTGTTATATTTATATAGATGTCCAAGTATTAAATTATTTTTTATTTTAGATATTGTATGTGTGTATATATAGTTTTTGTTAACCAGTTTCTATACTGTTTGTTTATTTACTGAGGCAGTTTCTCATTCATGGGTTTATTGAATTGACATTTAAGTTTTTGTATCATTGAACTACTTTGTATTGCCAAAAGAAAACACTGTATTATTTCTTAACAAAAGTAAATAGTTTATGTGGAGCTCAGTTTTCAAATACTTAATGTTAAATTGGTATGTTTTACTCTAGTAAGATTAATTCCCCATTCATTGTTTAATTATAACTGAGGGTGATGACACTTCATATTTATTTTTACAAAAAAATTCGTTTCTTAGTAATACATCAAACTAAGAATTCTAAATACTGTCTTCCATGGTTTTACACTTTACTTTTGTATTCATGATTGTTGTTAGGTTGTTTTTATGTTTACGTCAATTCAGTGTTTAATTCACAACTTCATTTTAGGCCTGCAGGCCAGTTTTTCATCAGTCTGCACTAACTCCCTCTCAGTAAGAGGAGAAGATGCAGAGGAGTCAGTAGAGAGCCATGATAGTAGTTGTGATATAACAGATATTCAACAATATGGTATGTCTTTCGTATCACTTCATAGTATATACAATAAAATAATCACAGGTGTAATTCTTTGTTAGTTTGAATAATTATAAAATCCTTTGCATGTTTTAAAACAGTTGTCGCTATAATTGAGTAATCTTTTGTTGTTTAAAAGGAAATAGTCTACAAATTATAAAATCATAGTGGTTAAGCATCTATCATACCTTACCAGTATGTGAAAGAGTTACAAAAAGTGTTGGTTAAGTTTCTTTTCAAAAATATTTACTCAAATTTACAATCATTAAAGTTCATTTTCTTTTCTTTTTTTATTATTTTGGATTTCATGGAGAAGCATACAATGGAATGAAATAACTTCAGTTCATTATTTTATATGTAGGAAGAAGTTTCTTTATCAGTTCTATGAATATAATGTACATCTAAAATATATATGGATGGATACTTGGTGTGCAGTAACACAAATGTGAACAAATATAGTTACTTGTTTTAAGTGTAAATGAAACCTTTGTCTTTTCATGTTACAAGTAAAGATTCATTTTGTAACTTTGAAATCTTATACATTTTTAGGACTGTTTTTTTTTCATTTGGTTAAAATAAAATCCATTTAGCAGTACGTAATCTTTTTTACTGATAGAAAGATTTTTTTATTTTTCACAAACAGTATTAAGTAAGAAAGAAAAAGAAACATTAGTAGTGATACACGTTCAAGTCTCCTGGTGTTATATAGTGTGTGTGTGTCTTATTTCTCTTGTCTCTAGAGTGCAAGGAAGAAACATTAATAATGATATATGTTCAAGTCTCCTGAAGTCATATTGTGTGTGTGTGTGTGTTATTAAATATTATATTTTTCTTTTGTATAGAGTAAAAAAAAAAAGAGAACCGGTTGTGATACCTATATGCTCAAGTTTCCTGGAGTCCTAAACTGTGTGTGATATTAAATATTATAAATAGTTTCTAGAGTAAAAGAAAATAATTTTGATTGTGATACCTGTCTGTTCAAGCCTCCTGGAGTCCTAAAGTATGTGTATGTGTTACTGAATATTATAAGATAGCTTCTGTGGCTATAGTACAAAAAAGGAGAACTGTTTAAGTCTCCTAGAGTCATAAAGTTTATTAAATATTATATCTTTTTTTGTCTCTATAGTAAAAGTAAGGATTTTTGATTGTGATACCTGTTCAAACCTCCTGGAGTTGTAAAGTGTGTGTGGTGAAATATCTCTTATCTCTGCAGTACTTCATCTGTTCTTTTTCAGAATACATTTACCTATAAGAACAGAATCCTAAAAGTTTAAAATTGTGTAAAGAAGTGTATCTGTAAACTACATAGAATAGGGTTATGACATTTGATCAGCAATTTTTTGCAATATTTTAAACGTTTTATCAAATTTATTTTAGGATTTTGCATCTT